TTTTTGCTTTAGTTACTATTGCAATAATCACTAGCCTTGGCAGACGATTACAGCAAAAAGTACGTATACCCATAAAATAAGAAAACACACGTTTGAACTAGGGTGTCGGAGGTTCCCCGTGGCATGCTCTCTAGTTTAGGCTTTTGCACCCTGGTGGTATGGAAGAGAATCGTGGAGTTAGCGGGTGGGTATGTATGTATGTTTGCACTTTTTAAATACAGTTAATTGGCGGGCAGTTAGCATACTTCTCTGAGCGAATGTGAACATTTTAATTTTAAGCAGGTAGGGCCCGGAAAAGGCATTAGGTTTGTTTCTACTCCGGAGTGGAAATTTGGTCTCCGGGTTTATACAGAATTGTTACAAAAATTGTTGTTTTATTCTTTCTATTATGCTTGCTATATAATTTTATTTTGTAACTCTTCTGTAATCTTTATTATGTATCATGAGATTCAAAGGAATTTGCAACGATTTAAAAGATTTATTTCTATTTCGATTCTATCTYGAACGAGATAGAGTCGAACAAATTCGCAAATACTTTTATCCATTTGATACTTAGTTTTAAGTATTATAATATTAGCACTTCGCACAATCGCGATTTTCTCAATTAGAAATATAACGAATGAATGAAATGAAAATATTGCAAGAAAGTGCATAACATTTATTGCATTATTTATTTCAATTCTACTTTATTTTTTGACATTAAAAGTGCGACGTGTTATTAGGTCATCGATAATTATCTGCTTGGACATTCGTTTAATTGTGCTTGTGTATATATCAATTAACTTATAGTTTATTGATGGTCCACGAGCTTTAATAACTAACGGAAAATGTAAATTTATTTTTTAATAATCGAGAATTAGAACTATCAAACAAAATACGAGTTAATTTGTAAATAAAAAAGTACGAGAGATCTTATCTTGCTCGAACGTAGAAATTGTCCAGTGCAGTTTTCAGGGATGAAGAAAGAAGAGGTTAAATGCCGAAGAGGCTAATGCTGAAGAGGCTCCTACAAATTTGTGGTATCAAGTTGGCAGCTACACAGACTAAAGAGTTATTTTCAAAGCTTTAACAATAAGTTCGAACTTTTCGAAAATAGCTCTCTAGTTATACTTTATATTTTATTAAATTACTTGCTTGCTCGTCATTAATTTGTAGTTTTAATTGGAGATGATTGATCATTTCATCTCCTTGGCACACCAAATTTGTGTGCCAAATCGTTCAAAAGGTGCATAAGTTTTTAGTTAGTTAGAGGTAAAAATATTAAAAGTTATTTAATGTTGTATTAATAAATGTTGAAGTTTGATTAACGTTCAGTAAATATTACATTCATTTCTTTTTTCTTCATTGTATTTTATTAAATTTGCAACTTTTATTTTGCATATAAGTTATAGAATTTAAAAGTATTTTATAATAATTAATAGGATATTATTTTTATTAGTAACTTATTATAATATTTGTACTTTTCCTGTTTCTTAATTAATCATATTTTTTAATGTAAAATCACGGGTTTAAATTTAATTTTTTTTTACAAACGGTAAATAGAGATTGGATAAAAATAAATAG